TGGGGATTCCAAGTAATATTTGTGTATAAGATATTGCCAATATTTTGTCAGATATATTCTCTATATTTGGTGAAAATCATCCAGCCATTTACACATGATGTGATTAAAAAGCAAAGAAAAGGGTTGACAGTTACACTGTGGTGGTTAAGGCGGCTAGACTCCCACATGGCTGACTGTGATTCGAGTCCTGGACCTGGTAGCTTGCTTTCTCATTTTCCTTTGCTCTCTCTCTCTCTGGTCAACTTCAAAAAAAAAAAAATAATAATAATGACAATGAATAAAGTTAAATAATTGTTTTAAAAAATTAACAAAGAAAACAAAACAGGCAATTATATAAAGAGGAATACAATTCATTGCAGACTGTACAGATCTGAACCAAAGTGTTAGTACAAGTTACTCTTAGAGATTGGAATTTGACAAGAAAAGGGAATGAAGGAGATGTTCCTTTTTATTTTATATATTCCTATATTTTAAAAAGTTTTCATGATGAACAGTTTTTACTTGGGTCATTAGAAATAAGAATATGTTGAGCATCCAGGGCTTATTTCCAGACCTATTAAATTAAAATTTAAAGAGATTAGGGCCTACACAACTATATTCATTAAAATCTATAGAGATGATTCTGATATAGAGCCAGGTTTGAGAATCATGGTTTGCCTTTACTATCTTAGGACATGCTTTACTTTGATGACAAATTATTTGTTTACTTTCTGTATTCTTTAATTTCCGTAACAAGACTCTCTGATGTTTTAAGGGCAAAAACACCAACATTGCATCGAAAACCAAAGATCTATAATTAATGACAGGTCCCATGTTGACACTGTTGTATCCCGTACCTCAGATTTGATGTATCAGTTTTTATTTTGAGGGAGTTCTACAAGCACTGTTGCAGAGATACAGAAATTTAGTGAAACTGCTCTATAGAAAGAGATACTTTTCTTTCTTCAAAAAAAGTATCCATTTATTTTAAATTTTCTTTTAAAAATGTATATAACTTTATATTCAATACTTCATCTGTAGAAAGACAGCAAAATTTTAGTTTCAGAGACCAGAACGTGGCAGTTACTGTCAGTGTAGTTTGACCATTAAAATGATCTGTATGCTACCAGGTAACATGGTGATTAAGATGCTGGATGCCCACATAGTTCAGGTGGTTTGACTCCTGGATCCAGTGGCTTGAAGATCATGCTGAGCCTGTGTGTGTGTGTGTGTGTGTGTGTGTGTGTGTGTCTACTCAAAAATCCCTAGGAGAGAATAGAAGAGAAGGAATTGCAGAGTGGCCATCCCCCCTGGAGTTGGGCGTAGGGGAAGGGGGTAATTTCTCACTTTCTCCCAAGTGCTCAAAAATTCCTAGAGGGGAATGGAAGAGAAGGAATTGCAGAATGACCATCTCCCTTGGGGTGTGTTTTCTCACTGTCTCTCTCAGAGAGTACTCACCTTATGGCAAAAACAAAAACAAAACTATTTGCAGGGTATCTGTCATGTTGATCTACAGAATACATTATAATTCATATCTAAATTACTATGGTAAGCATTTCTGAAATGTTGATTGAATTGTTTTAGATTTTCTTCAATTTAAAAAGGACAAAATAAAAAGCATTAAAATTGTGTAGAATCTAAAACTATATAGTCTCATGCATTACAGAATTTGAATATAATATATAATTTGAAACAATTACTGTTTCTCTTTTATTCAACAAATGCCTTTCTAAATATTTTTAAATTGTGTAATGAAAGTACTTATCAAGTTTGCTCAAATTTTTCAATGGAAAGTCCATCTTTATCCTCTTTTGTTTGTAATGAATAAAGTTATATATTATTTCCCAGCAATTTAAATTATAGCTTTGAAAGACTGGTTCATTTTACACTGCTTTGCTCATTATTTGTTTTTTTTTTTAAAGTGCCATGTAGTTTTCTTGCTGAACAAGGCTGATTCTTTATTGCAATTCTAATTTATTTATAAAAAAGCAAAAGCAAAATGACTAACTTCCCATGCTGTGTTGCATGATTAAGGCTTTCTGCATATAATTCACATGACTGTCTTGAGCATGAAAATGAAAATTTGAATAACCTTAATATTATTTTGGTGTGTTATCAAAATTGAAAATACAAAATATCTTAAGTATATTTTAACAATAAATTGCATGATTTCTTTCTGCATATAGTTTATATTGTTTTTCTGAGTGTAGATACAAAGATTAATCATGTATCTAAGGTGGAAATACTATTTTGGAGTTTTTTCAAGGTAAAGTATATCATAATGTAAAATATTTAAGTGTATTTTATTTAAACCAGAGAATTTTAAAATTGTGCTTAGATCTTAAATGTATAACTTTTGTATTACTGAGGCACTTCATTTTAAATGTTAAATTTCTTCATAAGTATCATCCTTAAATGTTTGTGTGTGAGTAAAACTGTAGTCACATTAATGCCTGGGAGACCTATTGATGCAGTGACCTTTTTTAAAGTAGTTACTGCAAAATATACAGTAAGATACATTGCTGCAAACTGATTGGCTTCTTACTCATCTAGGTGTGTCCTTTAGAGAACAGGATCCAGGGCTACCACCAGCCACATGGTGCCTTAGTATAAAACTTTAAAACATGTTTATTCTTCTTGAGTAAACACAGATCTGTACCAGGGTGGATAGCTTGATGAGTATAATGGGTAGATTTTAATCTCCACTTTGTCAGGTGCCAAGCTATAGCCTTGAGAAAATATCAATCATTATTCTAAATGTACCATACACTTTTCCTAACTTTCCCTATGTGTTCTAATAAGTTATCACCACAGTCAAACAAAACAGTCACCATGGATTTCCATGTTGGTGCCAGGACTAGGGTTGAACTCGGGAAGAGAGTGAGTAGGTGCCTTCTCTAGTTCAAGAACCAACTGGCTCTTGAAGTTGGTAGAGAATAGCTCCACCAGTTACACATCAGTGTTACACACACAACCGCATTGCCTGTTTAACCTTTTATGATTTATTGTTATTCTTTATGGGATTTCCTTGATGTTCATTTCATCTTGATTCTCCTTGCATAAAATTGTGAGAAGTCATGTGGTGTAATTTATCTTACCCCACGAGTATGGCCTTGGCCGTGGCTGTGGCACTTGCATGCGGTTTTCACATTTGCAGACTTTATTTTAGTCTGTGTATCATGAGTGCCACTACCAGTTAGGGGTACAGTGAGTTGTACTGCCTGGAGTCAAAGCACTACAGTTTCATCTTGGCTCCAAACCTATAAAGTGACCTCTGAAACCTTAGATATTTATAAAAATTAGGAAGTAGAATTCATAAACTTTCAACAGGTAAAGTCACTTCGTTGGAAATACATTCAAAACAGAGTGAGCATGTATGTCCATGGTATCATGTTTCACCAGTACTTGACCGTTTCCATAAAAGTATATACCAGCCTTTGCTGCTAACCCTGATGCAGACCTTCATCCCAAACCCTTCCAAACAATGCATCATCTACCCTAAACTTCATAGTCTGTGACTATTTTATGCTGCTTAAAAGAAAGAGAACTGGAGCCAGCAGGTGGCGTGGTGATTAAGGCGCTAGACATTCCCACATGGCCAACCATGGTTTGAGTCCCAGACTTGGTGGACTTTTCAAGTCTCCTCTTGCTTTCTCTCTCTCTGTATCTCTCTCTGGTCAAATTAAAATAAATGAGTGAGTAAATAAAATTAAAAAAAAAAAAAGAGAGAGAACTGCTTGCTTCTGTAGACCCTCCCTGTCTTCCAGAGAAGGGCCTTTTTTTCCTTGTTTTGTCTCTGGAGATTTCCTACCCTTCCCTTTCTTTTCAAAGCACCTTTCTTTGTGAGATATGTAAAGCAGTCTATATCTTCCTTCCATTAACGATAAAGTCTTCCTCAGAAACTCTCTTCAGAGTTTTTTCTTTCCATTGATTTTCTTGTCCACAGAAAATGTTTTACTTGTATGTAAACACATAGTGTCTTAAACTGTTTATAGAACACATTTACAGCCTTTTATCTGCTTCTCCTAAGTTCTTCTGAGCTTTAGGCTTCTTTTCGAATATGGCTAACTTACATAGTTTCAACTTACAGTAACCTGTATATGAAAATTGAAATAAAGTTAGTTTCATCAAATGATCAAATGCACATATGAACATATAAAAAATATACATGTTTTATATTTTATTCTTTAAAAAAGACAATTTTAAGTATATGAAAACATCCCAAAAGGATGCAGCCACGTTAAGGCTGATACCTGTTTTCCAAAGAAGTGACAAATCAGTTATCATAATGAAAGGAAAGCACCTAGCATCATTATTATAATGACGTAAGTAGAGTTATGGGAATTTGTGATTTTTAACAAGCTTAAAGATTTGCAAGTCCTTCGAATTAAATAAAAATGAAAGCACTTTAAATATAATTTTTAAATTATCTGACAAATCTTTTAAAAGGTAGGTTTTTAATCTTCAAATAATCTTAGCATTTATTGAATATTTGCTATATGCCAGGGGCTGTTCTATGTGAACTCTGTATAGTAGTTATATTGCTGTACACTTAATTCTCACCACAGCCTTGTGAGATATTGATACCAGCAAGTGGCCAGAGCCCCCAATCTTAACCATTTCAGTTCACTACCTCAGAATTAAGCAGTTTAATATTTTATACTATCTCTTGAAGTGATTATAGCCTAATAAATGTTAGTCATGCCTTCTATTTTTATTTCATATTACAAATTTTTATAGCAGTGTAACACACACATATTCTTTGTATTTTTAAAGTGAACCACAGCACTATTTAGACAGTGTACAAATAATACAATACAATTTAAATACTGAAAATAGAATTTGAAGGGTGAAACCTCAAGATTAGATTTTTATGTTACATTATAAACCATTTTAAAATAGTAATTTCTTAAGGCAATTATTTTACTGTAATATCTTTGAAATGCTTTTTTCCCATTAGATGACAATGTGTGAAGTGTGCCTTGTGTTTATTCTTCATTGTGTACCATTCTGTGGCGTAGATTTCCTTGCTGAAACAGAATCTGGAGATGCAGCTTTCCCAGTCTCAGACTTCTTTGCAGCAACTGCAAGCTCAGTTTACACAAGAACGACAGCGGCTTACACAGGAGCTTGAAGAATTAGAGGAACAGCATCAACAAAGACATAAATCCTTAAAAGAAGCACATGTCCTTGCATTTCAAACTATGGAAGAAGAAAAGGAGAAGGAACAAAGAGTGAGTTTAGTGTTATATACATTCTAACGTATACCAGTTCAACCGACTAATATTATAATGGCCTTCAAATTCTGAATAATTCATTTTTTGCTCCTAAGAATTGTGTATTGTTATTTTTTTAATTTTTTATTTATTCATTCATTTATTTTATAATTTGACCAGAGAGAGACAGAGGTTGAGAGTGAGAGAGAGGGGAAGTGAGAAAGGAAGCCACCAGATTCAGGATTTGAACCCTGATCGGCCATGTGGGAGTGTCCAATGCCTTAACCACCACGCCACCTGCTGGTCCAAAATTGTGTATTGTTATTTAAATGTATTTTATAGAATGTACTTTCTGGAGGGGTTCATGATGACTAAACATATACTCTAAATAGGCACTATAGCAGACAAATTAGACTTGGGACATTTTATTTCTGTTTCCCATCATAATGCCAAGTTCATGATGCAACTAATAAACTGTCTGACTTGTTATATAGTTAACAGTGATGAAATAAATTTAGTTAAATCTTGTAGCATGAACTTACCGCACAGTAATCACTCTATTTAATACTATCTTTTTATCTTTCATGCTAAATCTACAAAAAATATGTCCAATGAATTTGTGGGTGTGTGTATATATATATGTGTGTGTGTATATATATATATATATACACACACACACACATTAATCCCAGATCTTTTTCTTTATATTCTTTTTTTCCTTCTGTACAAAATTCATAATAAAATGAAATTGGAGACTTAAAAAACAGCATAATTCCCTTATATACTGCCTCAAAGGCTTTTAAAACAATGTGTCACCAATTTTGAGTCAGAATCCGAGTCAGAAGAGATTTAAGTCAAATAGATATATTACTAGATTAATGGTATTATATATCAGAATCTTTATATATCCATATATATCATTACTCAGTTCTGTATTAAAGTGTTAGTTTAACATAATCTTAGTATCATTCATTTTGATTTAGTTCAGTTCATTTTTAGAGAGCTTTTTGCTATAGGGCATGTGCACATGTCGGAGAGAAGCAGGAAGCGAGGAATCACTCTCCAAGGAGAATGGCCACACCACAATCCCTTCTCCATTTTCTCTTGGGATTTTGGGCACATATGCCCTGCATTGAGTTTTTAAACCACTGGATCTGGGACTCGATCCGCAGTCAGCTATGTGGGAGTCCTACCATGTAACCATTATGCCATCTGCTGGTCCCAAATTAGTTCATTTCTTAATGCTATATTTTCAGTTTCTTTCAAGGAGCTTATTAAAATTACATTAAAGATTTGCTAGATGAACATTATTTTACTACTAATGATTTTAACCATATAGAGTGCTTACATATATAGGTTATTTTTTCATCTTTAAATTGGGTACAAACACTTTTTATAAATTGTATGTTATAAAGAAATTGTTAAACAAAAAAGGCATATGCTTTTAAAAACAACTTGTCCAGCTGACTCCATGGCACAGTGGTACTGTGCTGGTCAAAAGGAGCTGGATCCTACCTGGTGACCATGATTTGAGTCCCTGGCCCGATCAGGTGAAAAACATGCCAGAAACACACTCTGTTTCTAGGATCAGACAAACAGTTGGACTGGAGGAAGGAATCACAGACCCTAAGGAGGGCTCATCTCTCTCGCCTCTCTCTTTGTCTCTTACTTTCATGTGTTCTATTATAAACAAAGAAAAAAATTAGAAAAACTTAAAACAATTGACATGTCTGTACAATATTGAGTTGTCCAAAAAGTCAAGAAGCAGGACCAGCAGGTGGCATGGTGGTTAAGGCACTAGACACTCCTATAAGGCCGACCATGTTTCAAAGTCCCAGACTTGGTGGTTTGCTTTCTTACTTTCCCTCTCTCTGTTTGTGTGTCTGTCTCTGGTCAAATTAAAATAAATAAATGCATAAATAAAAATTAAATAAATAATTTTTTTAAAAAAAGGAATTAAAAAAGTCAAGAAGCTCCTTTGCCTAAAAATCAGGCCTGATTACATTGTTTTGAAAAATCTGTTCATTGGTTACTGTGTGAATAGAAATAACATGTAAACACTCATTTTATACTTCAATTTTGCACATTTAATCTTTTACTACAATTATTTTTCTGATTTTTTTTTTAAATAGAGAAGTTTTTTTTTCTTTTTGGAGAGGTTTTTGCTATAGGGCGTTTGCACTCACGAGAAAGAGAGATAGAAAGTGAGAAATCACCCCCCAGGGGGGATGGCCACACTGCAATCTCTTCTCCTCCATTCTCCTCTCAGGATCTTGGGCACGCATGCAAATGCGCCCAGCATGAGTTTAAGCCACCAGGTCCGAGACTTGAGCCGCGATCAACTACATGGGAATTCAGTGACATAGCCATTAGACTAACTGCTGTTCCCGAGAGTTTTTTATTATTGGGCATGTGTGCTTGCCAGAGAGACAGGTAGACAGAGAAATCAAACCTTGGGGGTATAGCCATGCCATAATCCCTTCTCCTCCATTGTCTTCTCAGGATTCTGGGCCCGCACACACACGTGCCTGGTGTCTGGGACTTAAACCATGATTGACTTCGTGGGAGTTCAGTGACATAACCATTATTCCATCTGCTGGTCTCCATCCCTATAATTACTATTTTTTACATCTGAACCTGCAATTTTACTATAAATATTGTCATTAGGGAGCCAAGTTATCTAAGTGAAACTATCTAAACTAAAAGTTCTTTTTTACCTATATTAATAAAAACATAATTTTTTAAAAAATAAAACACTTTAAACAATGAAAATGAATAGCCAAATACTAATTTTGAAAAACAGCATTTTAAAGATTAAGGAAACACAGTCCTAGTTACAATATAATACCTTTTATTTTATAGGTTACAGTGAAAAAAAAAGGAAAGGAAAAAAACAAAAACTTGTAGTAAAAAAAAAAAAAAGACAAAAAAACCCAAAAAACAGCCCTAGTTACAATATAATACCTTTTATTTTTATAGGTTATAGTAAAAAAAAAAAAAAAAAGGAAAGAAAAAGAAAAGAAACAAACAAAAGAGAAAAGAAACAAACAAGCAAAACTTGGAGTCAGACAGTGGCAAAGTTACAAAACTTGATGGTCTGTGAAGTGGTCCCACTTGAAAAGGTTCCCAGTTCAAGTGCAGAGACCTTCCTGAATATGCTAGATACATGCTTTCTCATGATTTGGGGCTGACTGAGGCTGAGGGTGGATTGTGGTGTCACGATCCTCCTGGAGATGCGCTCACACTCTATCTCTCTTACTTAGTGAAAAGATGAATACATAAATTTTAAAATAAGGAACAAACAAATGAAACCCCTTCAGTTCTCTCTCTAAGCTTGAGGTACCTGCCGAAACAAAAAATTTCCCTATGGCCAGATATCCTTTCCTAGTCTTAGCTACCAGTAGGCTGGTCTCTTTAGCTAGGCTTTTTAGACAAACCACACAAAAAGCTTTTCCTTTGCTTTTATAGCTACCTACTTTTAAGACCTTTGCTTTTCACAAGAACAGGTGCAAAGCATGTCTACAAAATAGCCACAAAATATTTTTTAAGATTGACATTACAAAAGCCTTTATCAGTCTTTTCCTAACCAGGAGGAAGTCTTTTCTTGGTAATGCTCTCCTCCTCCTCTTTCCTAAGGCTAAGTCTGTGTACATACAAGAATTATTAATCAATTTTAAGTAGTTTACACCCTTCAACAGATTTAAAAAGTGATGTTTTTAAATAATGCAGTAAAGAGATGAATGCAAGTACACTTTTTTTTTTTTAAATGATAGCACATGCACACACATGCATGTGAATAAAGAGCACCCAGAGAGAGTGAGAGAAAGAATACCCATGACAGGGTCTCCTTGTGCCATGATCCCCTTTCTTCAGCCCTCTAGTCCCTCAGGATCTTGGGTAACTGGAGTATTTTCAGGCCAACTGGAAGATCCGAACCCATGGTTGGCCATGTGACTTCAGTACTATATGACACCTACACTGGGCCCAGAAAATTATTTTATTTGAAAATTGCCTTAGGTAAAGTACATGTAAGAAGGGTCTTCCAGAAGTTTCTTACTTAATCATAACATGAAAAAGGCATATTATGATAAAACTATGCATGGGTTTCAAATTTTTTTATACCTGAATGAACTCATCCTTTAATTTTACTTTTCTGTGAACCTTTTGAAATCCCCTCATATTTCCAATTCAGACAGAATATTTTGGGTCAAACTAGTTTTGTGATTTATTTGCTCTACTGAAATGACCCTTTTAATTTGTTTTCTAATAGTGATTATCTCTAATTTTTTACAGTGAACTAAAACCACTTTGTATTTCTTAAATAGTAACTGAGCTTCAGTAACTATTTTCTATTTTGGCGGCATTTTTCTTCCCAAATTCTAGCATGTAATTTGAATTTGTTTCTCTTGTTCTAGGCTCTTGAAAATCATTTACAACAAAAGCATTCAGCAGAGCTTCAGTCATTAAAAGATGCACACAGAGAGTCGATGGAAGGGTTCCGAATAGAAATGGAACAGGAACTTCAAACTCTTCGGTTTGAATTAGAGGATGAAGGAAAAGCCATGCTTGGTATTTTGGAAAGATGATCTCATCATATGTATTTTATATAGTGTTCCATTTGAAAATTCAACATAAAATCACAAAGTCTTATTTCTAACTTTTGAAGCATCAGATGAATGCCTTAAGTTTGTTACATGTTTTATTCCAAGTTACCAGTTGATGAAGCAAGCAAGGTGGAGTTGACTGCATAAAACAGACAGTGCATAGCGTTCCCTGAACATCTCTGTACACTGGCCTTGTAAACAACACTGGTGTTTCTGTCCGTCTTCGTGGGACTCAGTGGGGTCAGAATACAGAGGCATCCCTGAAATCAGTAACCATCCAATAAACAGGCTACACAGAGGCCACATAGAGCCATGTGTCTTACACTACATAGTCATGTTGATTTTTTTCCACTTCAGGATTTTGTTCCAGTGAGAAAAGTTATTGTGAATGTATGACTTTTTTGTTGAGTTTTTTTTTTTAATGGGATTTTTACCTGTGAGATGTTGAAATCGCTATTTTCCATAGGGAGAGATAAATTGACTTTTGAAGACAAACTGGATAGGTATTTAACAGTTTGCTTTGTTTTTGTTTTCTGGTGTCATTCAGTAATTTTATTCCTGTCATCTCATTTCCTTCTGTTTAGTTTAATTCCCAAATTCTCCTGATGTCTTATGCTGTCATACTTATGTGACAAAAAAAAACATGTAGAAGTTGGGAATAAATACTTTGGGCCTTAAACGGAAAGCATTTGAGCCTGTTCATTATCTATACTGTTGCTAGGAATCCTAGATCTTGTCAGTATAGTTCTTTCTTCTTATTCCTTTAAAAGCCGTTGTGATAGCTGGCCAAAAAAAAAAAAAATCATATTAAGTGCAGTCACAGAATATCTATTTACATGCTAGATATTACTAAGCAAGGGGAATTTTTAAATGAACCACTGCTCTGTCAGATACAGAAGTGTGGCAAAGTGGGAGTACACATTTTTTGCAGCTGTCTGAGAAAAGTGTAAAAACAGGCCAAGCATTGAAACTAGTGTTGTTAGTACTTTGAAACCTGGTTTAAGTACCTGTTGGCTGGTTCAGCCATGCTGGTACTTGCTAAGATGCTGCAGCTCAGTGGCCGAGGCCACATGGGAGGCCCTAGTCAGGTTCTTAGCCTAACCAAAAAGAAGCA